AATGAGCAGTTTGCATAATCCGATAGGACTTTGTGAAGGTTTTCTATAGGAATTCCATTTCAAATCATATGTGAATCAATGAGCAGTTTAGATAATCCCATAGGACTTTGTGAAGGTTTCCAATAAGAAATTCATTCACAATCATATGTGAATCAATGAGCAGTTTACATAATCCTATAGGACTTTGTGAAGGTTTTCTATATGAATTCCATTCCAAATCATATGTGAATCAATGAGTAGTTTACATAATCCCATAAGACTTTGTGAAGGTTTCCTATAAGAAATTCATTCAAAATCATAGATGAATCAATGAGCAGTTTACCTAATCCCATAGGACTTTGTGAAGGTTTTCTATAGGAATTCCATTCCAAATCACATGTGAATTAATGAGCAGTTTACATAATCCCATAGGACTTTGTGAAGGTTTTCTATAGGAATTCCATTCCAAATCATATGTGAATCAATGAGCAGTTTACATAATCCCATAAGACTTTGTGAAAGTTTCCGATAAGAATTTCATTCACAAATCATATGTGAATCAAAGAGCAGTTTACATAATCCCATATAGGACTTTGTGAAGGTTTTCTATAGGAATTCCTTTCCGAATCATATGTGAATCAATGAGCAGTTTACATAATCCCATAAGACTTTGTGAAGTTCTCCTATAGGAAATTTATTCAAAATCATATGTGAGTCAATGAGTAGTTTACATATTCCTATAAGACTTTGTGAAGGTTTCCTATAAGAAATTCATTCAAAATCATATGTGAATCAATGAGCAGTTTACATAATCCCATAGGACTTTGTGAAGGTTTTCTATATGAATTCCATTTCAAATCATATGTGAATCAATGAGCAGTTTAGATAATCCCATATGACTTTTTGAAGGTTTCCTTTAGGAATTCCATTCACAATCATATGTGAATCAATGAGCAGTTTACATAATCCCATAGGACTTTTTGATGGTTTCATATGGGAATTCCATTCACAATCATATGTGAATCAATGAGCAGTTTAGATAATCCCATAAGATTTTGTGAAGGTTTTCTATATGAATTCCATTCCAAATCATATGTGAATCAATGAGCAGTTTACATAATCCCATAGGACTTTGTGAAGGTTTTCTATAGGAATTCCATTCCAAATCATATGTGAATCAATGAGCAGTTTACATAATCCCATAGGACTTTGTGAAGGTTTTCTATAGGAATTCCATTCCAAATCATATGTGAATCAATGAGCAGTTTACATAATTCCATAGGACTTTGTGAAGGTTTTCTATAGGAATTTCATTTCAAATCATATGTGAATCAATGAGCAGTTTAGATAATCCCATAGGACTTTTTGAAGGTTTCCTGTAGGAATTCCATTCACAATCATATGTGAATCAATGAGCAGTTTACATAATCCCATAGGACTTTTTGATGATTTCCTATAGGAATTCCATTCACAATCATATGTGAATCAATGAGCAGTTTACATAATCCCATAAGACTTTGTGAAGGTTTCCTATAAGAAATTCATTCAAAATCATATGTGAATCAATGAGCAGTTTACATATTCCCATAGGAATTTGTGAAGTTTTCTATAGGAATTCCATTCCAAATCATATGTGAATCAATGAGCAGTTTACATAATCCCATAGGACTTTGTGAAGATTTTCTATAGGAATTCCATTCCAAATCACATGTGAATCAATGAGCAGTTTACATAATCCCATAGGATTTTTTGAAGGTTTATTATAGGAATTCCATTTACAATTATATGTGAATCAATGTGCAGTTTACAAACATCTACATGGGGTCTTTCAACGGTGACTTCATCAGGTGCTGCTTCAGTGACTAAAGCCTTGTATGACAGAAGTAACTTTTCCATGCGGTGGTTGTTTTATTCCACTGAAAAGTGAAAACTTGTTTGTTGTTGGTATTGATTGTTCAAAACTATAAAATCATACTTTAAACGTAAGTTTTCGTTTGAACACTCTGGCACTGCAATACAGTCTGGAGCACTTATCAGAAACTTTTTGCCCTCCACAATATGTCATGGTAAACGTGATAAGCCGATACGAGAGTATATCACTTCACACATAGTGTTGTTTCTTGACAGCAACGACAATATATACGAATATTTTAATAATTTAATTTAAGTTAATTAAGTTAAATTTACAGGTTGTCAGTTTGAAATTGAAACATATTAGTAACTGATACAAAAGGCGGTAAAACACGTGTGTATACCAAAATCAAGTTGAAAATTGTTTATCACTTAGAGCTGGGATGTTTAATCAATGTTTCTTCCAACTCAACGCTCATTAACCTACTACTTCACAAAAATTACTTGCGGTTCATTCATTCATGTGCGTTTGTAGCATGGCCCAAGGTATGATTTACGATGGAATATATTGATGGTCACGATTATAATTGGTAGTTGTATATATACTGCAACAAGTAACAAACATAATATGCATGCGTTGACCAATAACGGGAAGTTATAATTATACATAATGTAGCCCTAAATACCGAACCCATTCAATCAGCACGTCCATAGTACTGTGTATGGAGTGACCCTGTTTTTTGTCTTAAATGACCCCTATGTGAACGACGTGCACGTGCGTTGTTTCATTTCCTTATTGAAACCGAAGTTCAGTTACGCTTCACGTGTCCAAGGTAGGGAAGCCGTTATTGAGATACTGCAAATCGTCCTCGCTGAACATGATGGAGTCTGACGGTTACGTTTACACTAGATTTGCGCCTGAAACCTCTTCCTGTGAGGTTATCCCCGCAACACCATTGTTATCTAAATCAGTCCTGTTGACCCAGAGAATCGCGCTTGTTCTCACCGCTATCGTGGTGGTAGGATTCCCTGTTGTTACGGCATCGGATAGCTGGCTGGAACTTAATACCACATCGATCGGGCTATGGCGTCAATGCATATATAATATCACCACGGGCGACAGTAGGTGTTATATGTTAGTTGAATATTCACTACCAGGTAAGTGATCAGTTTTCCAGTGTCAGATTTCCGAAAGTTCACTTCCATGTAGAATCCCAAACACTATGACATAATATGAAACACTGTCAAACTGTCAGTCGTCTAAACCTAGTACAGTCCCAATCAGTCCATATTACCACAACTTACCAACCTTCTTTAGCAACGTGTTTGTGCATATTAGGTATTATTATGTAATCAAATAAAACGGTTTATCCCATATATTGTGACAGTTCAACGTAGCATGTCATGTACATAACACTGATATTGTCCTCCTATTTTGAATCTGAACGTGAAACAAATGCACGTTGAAACACATACAGTAAGGGTAACAGGATGTACATGATCTTGAATCTGATTGTCAAATGAATGTGTGTGCATATGTACAACATGATGTACGATGTATGTTTGAAGTTCAAGTATGATCGGCTAATGCATGTCTAGGATACAGGTGGAGACGCAAGCACGCACATACATCAACACATGAGTTCCTGTTTCGAACCTTGTACGACGAAAACTATTAAATCACTTTTTATAATATGTAATAACAAACCCGGTATGCAAACAAATCGACCTTTTGACATTATGGTGAACTATCGAAAAATAAGCAAATCAAGACTCAAGATATTTACGGTTTTGCACAACATTTATTGGATTATTATTAACAATTATATTAAAACGCATTTGTGATATAACACCGTATACTAGTGTATGCGAGACATAAATTTGTTTCACCCATGTGTAGTGGCGATTTGTCACTGATTATGAAACGATCGCGGTTTTAATGAACTTAAAAATTATTATTGCGATCCCGAAACTGTAAATATAGTGAACTTAATCGCATAGGGGTAAGCTGGTAGTAATAAACGTTCATGCACATTGATTGATTATGCAAAATGTTTCATATGCTAAACAGGTCATCAAATTCGTGACCCTAGAATGATTAGAATCTTTGATTTATAAAAACTATGTTACAGTAGTAATTTCCATTTGGTCCTCGCAAAAAGCTCCAACAATATATCAGATATTGTAGACTCACTTATTAGATATTCTCTATGTGTCTACATCTTTTTCAGTGTATGTGATTGCATGTCAAGTGCTCATGATAGCCGCGTCAGTCTTGTCAGGAATAGCTATTATAACTGCCTCTATAGGTCACTGTAAACAGTATGGTAAATGCGTGCGAACTGCTGGCTTTCTTCTCGTGTGTTCAGGTATGTGGTCAATATTCTGATTTCTATATTTGCGGGACACATTGTATGGCATCCATGCGTCAACTTATATTTCTATTTGACTTTCAGTCTTTTTCTCATTTCAGGTATTTTTGTTGCAGTTTCTCTAATTGTGTTTCCCATTCTAACGAAACTCCGATATCGAGGTGAGGTTTTTCGCACTGGGTGGGGCATCGCTGTTGGTATCATCGTGTGCTGGGGGTTTTCCTTCACGGCTTCGGTCCTCTTTCTCCTGGCGTGGAGGAGTAATAATCGAGACACAGAAATGAGTAATATATCTACTGAGCAACTAGACTGAAGGTTGATTATGATAGACAAAACAAGAAGAACAATTCATTCTTTTGTTTACGTGGTTTACATGTATATATATTGTGTTGGTGCTAGAATTTCGTACGTTGATCTGACGTTTGAGATATCGGTATAAAAAGACCATGTTAAATGCAGGCTAGACAGAATTATATATAATTAGCAAATACTTTCATGGCACGATTCAAGTTTAATATGCTTTGAGCATGAATTATAATTAATTAATAAATAAAAAAAAAACGGATTTAATACTTGAATAATTAAACTGAGATTTGAGTGAAGCGTATAAACGAGATTATGGAAAATGAATGTTGGAAATGTGATTCAGACTATGACGAACTGTAGCTTTGGTTAGTGATAGTATTGCGCTGGTTGGGGTTGGGCTTCTTCCTCCCGAGAATACCTAACATTAGAACATTACGTAGAAACAAAATATTCTTCATTTATTTAGATCGTGAACAACGATGTGTGTTTTAGTGCAACAAGAGTTAGCTACCCTGTTAGGTTAAATTGTAAAACGTTGTTTGGTTGTTTGTCTTACATTTAAAAAAAAGAACTGAGCTATGTGTATTCCCGTATATTCGTTAAAAATTGTCAATCTCTGAAATGAGTTTCTGTGCAAGGAACCAGTTTGATAAGATCACATAATTATTAAGTCATTGAAATTACACCAACAGGACGAAAAAAAAAA